TCTCGACCATGGTGTAATAATTACCCCCTAGACTGGAATGTCGCGGTGTGACTTTCCTGGCTGTACAGTGTCGAGGACGCCGCGTGGAAAGGGACCTTTCTGTGGTTTAGGACTGCTGCTCGCGAGTATTGTGACCATTGCGGCTGGTTTCTCAGGCAGTGGAGCAGTCACATCGACTGTACGAACCGTCACATCCTCATTTCCCTAACGCCACGTGGGACGGGGGGATAAATCATCACCGTCGGATCAAGCCCTTTCCTGTTGCTCTCTCCCCAGCCGTTCGATCATGCCTTCTCGGATCCACCGTCGGATGGGACTGATTCAAATTCTACGGTCGAGATCTGGAGCCCTTTGGACTCTTCGAAGACCCCTTGGCTTCCTCTCTTGTGGGTATATATACCCTCTTACCTTTGCATTTCTGACTTCCGAGTTTTCAAGATGCCGTTACTCTGCTAGATTTTCCCCTGAGCCGTTTCCTCCGCGCATCTTCCGTGTTTGAACCGTCCATCGTTCTCAGATTCGAGCATCCTCTGACTCCGGTAAGTCCTTATTCCCCCTATTTTTCCCCGTGGGTCCGGTCGCCTCGTCGGCGACCGTTGCGTTGAAATGTGTTGTAGATAAAAAAAAGAATGGGGGAAAAACGTCCTTGCCTGGTGCCGCCGGCCTTACGTCGACGGCGGGGCTGGCAATGTCTGGCCTCCTGGTCGCTGTTGAGGCCCTCAGACTTGGCTCTGAGCCTCCGCGGCTTGCAGTGTAGTCTGTTTCTCTTACCTCGCGCTTTGGACCTCTCGACCGCTAGGAGCTAACTCTCTCTTTACCTTTCATTTTTAGAACATGTCGTCGAAGCAGGTTAGAGGTCGAGAGGTTTCCGAGCATAGGGTCAGGGAAGACCCCTTGGACGTCGCTACCTCCAGTACGTCTTTGGGCGGAAGCGGGGATTCCCTACTTCGCCAAGTCGAGGAGTACGATGACGTGTCTGCCTCGTCTTCCCAACAAGACGTACTCGTTCTTCTTGACGACGAGGGTGTTGACCCGCAGGCCGGCTCTCCCGGGCGCTAAGGGTATGGGGCTGCACCCACGAGTACGCTTTCAGGGCTGGCCACAGACCTCGACCCGTCTAAGATCAGGCCCCACGCCGCTAGGAAGGCGTTCATCGACGCAGAGATCGACCCTATTCACTTCTACGTGATCATTCCGACCCCCCACGACAGGGCGCACAATCCTCCCCCCGGTCATATGACCGTGTACACCCGGGTACTCACCTTTGGGCTAACTTTGCCCTTTCACCCTTTCGTGAAGGCTCTCTGCGGCCTTCACAGGATCTCGCCCGCACAATTGTCACCCAATTGTTGGGTGACAATAAACTCCATGATAATATTGTGGAGGAAAATTTTGAGCCTCGACCTCAGCGTCGAGGAATTTTTGTATTGCTGCTCCCTTCGGGCTTCCCCTGGGCAGAGGGGATTCTTTTACATAGCTTCCCACGCTAAGTCCAAACCTCCTGTCCCACCTGTGGTCATCGGGAAGACCACCAGTGCCCACGGGTGGAAACCCCAATTCTTCTTCCTGGGGGGTAATTTTAACTCTCACACCCTCGACGGTGATCGACCAGTGGGGACACAGACAGTATTTAGCAAATACTGTAGGTTTCTCCACCTTTTTCCTTTCTCGCAGGTTTTTATGCAGCTGTCGAGCCTTCTGACAATGTTTCAATCTCGCAGGTGAAGAAGTCGACCGTTCGACGCTCCCAGCATCCGCGCTTGATTGCGTCGAGAAGATACTGTCGCTTTCCCCTGACCGTCGGCGTGCCTCTGTTCTCAACACAAAAGAGAACCAACAGCTGTACGGCCTCATCGTCGATCTTCCCGCCCCACATCGACCCGTTGCCCCTCCCGCCGATCTCCTCTAGGGCTGTTCATGGGTTGGGTTGGTGCGGGGTAGGACTTTTTTTTCCCCGCCCCAAAGGGTGCGGGTTGCACATATTTGGCCCCAACGATGTTAGAAAACTTTCACAACCCAACGATGTTCGGGTTGGGTTGGGGCGGTGCGGGGTGGGTTGGGTGGTCGGTTTCAACATTCAAAAAATCAAAGACTTAAAGTTCAATATAATATTCAAACTTCATCATTAAATAGAAATAGCAACCATCCTTATCAGTTTGGCGAGAGAGCACCGGAGAAAGTGGGCAAGACGGCGGCCGAGAGGACTGAGCAATGAGGAGAGAGTTATGAGGGGGTTCACGGGAGGGGAAGAAGAGGGAAAACTGAAAAGGAAGAGGCAATATGAGGGGGTTCATGGGAGGGGAGTCCGAGAATGAGATTGTGAACCCTAATGTTAGCGAGCCTAGGGGAGAACTTGGGCAGTTCGGCTTGGGCCGAAAGCTTGGGGGTATGTTGTGCGGGTTGGGTTGGGGATTGCGGGTTGTTATGGGCTAAACCCGCAATCCGCCCCAAACACTTCGGGCCAGAGGTATAATGAGCCGCAAATTTAAAAATAATGATGCGGGTTGCTTTTTTCGGCTTGGGTTGGGGCGGGGTGGGTTGGGTTTGCGGGTTGTTCGGGTTTATGAACAGCCCTAATCTCCTCAGCGGTAAGTCAGGTTTTTCTCCTGACCTTTTTTTCTTTAGCGAAGTCCGGGGGACGTAGTCGAGGTGTTCCTGAGCTGACTTTTCATTTTTCGCGTAGCCGTGCCATCCGAGATGAAGTACAGCATCCTCGTCAAGCCGAAGAAGAACGCAACCGGTACGGGATCGAGTGGGACGTCGAGTCAGCACACGACCGAGGCTGCTATCTTGCCGGGCGCCGCCAGGACCCCTAGGAAGGGGGTATTCGTGGTTGAACTCCCTCCATCGAAGAGGCAAAAGGTGACCGAGTCGCGGGCGCCTCCTGTAGTCGCGGGGGCTTCCGGGAAAGCTCGGCGCCTCGATAAGAACAAAGGTGCCGAGGTCACGGCGAATCTGGCGATCCCGCCCCCTCCCCCTGAGCCTATTCTGCTCCCGGGGTCGAAGATTGATGACCCCTTGTTCATTGTGTCCGACGTTGTCGACCTTGACCTCACTCACGCTTTGCTCCTCCCACCTCGCTTCAGCCTTCCTCTGCAGGCCATATACACATTCTTTCACGAGGACACTTGGGATGTTTTCGCCGGGGAGAGCATCCTGGACCGGCAGCGCCTGACTGTGAAGCGTCAAATCTCGGTAAGCCTCGACCTCGACTCCTATCACTACTGCTTGTATGCGGTAGTCTTTCTTTTTGTTTGGGTTTCTCCGTCTTGACCATATTCCCTTTCCTTTGGAATTTAGGCCCTTGAGTTTGCTCTTCAGAATTACGTAGAGCTGGAGGCCATCCTCAAGGGGGAGAAGACGCCGGCGGCGGCCGTCGAGAAGGAGATCACCGCCCTTCGTACAGTTCGAGATGAGCTATCGACAGACTTGGAGGTCGAGAAGGCTAAGGTACGGTCCCTCGAGGATAGCATTTCCACCAAAAAATCCAGTAGCTACAAGGAAGGCTTTCAGGAGGGAAGCTCCAAGGGGATCGAGACATACCTCTCGTCTCGGGAGTTCCAGGAGCGCCAAAAAGAGGCCACTTCAAGAGCCATCTCAGACTTCTTGTCCTCCGAGGACTTCCACCGCATGGTCGACACCAGGCTTGATGCCTTCAAGGAGTCCCAGGAGCTCAAGGACATGATCGAGGGCCACATGCAACAATTCAAATCCTCGACAGACTTCGAGGAGCTCGTCAACCAGAGGCTCGAGGCCTACCAGGCCTCCGCCGAGTTTGAAGAGTTTCAGATGTCCCTGATGTAGTCTGCGGGGGAACAAATCCTCGACCGCTTCCGCCAGAAACGTCCAGACGTTGACTTATCCTTTTTGGACGAGTTCGACAGTGACGACGTGGAGGTGGTCGAGCCGCTGTAGGGGGCCGAGCCGCCGCAGGAGGCCGAGGGTGTCAACCGAGTGCGTAGTGGTGAGGAGCAGGCTGCGGACGACGACGGCGAGTAAGGAGGAAACTCTAGCCGGGGCCTTCTGTTTATATTTTTTGCTGCAACCCCCTCTTCTTCTCTTCTCTTTTTTTTAGGGCCGTGTGGCCCAAACTAAATTTGATAATTTGTAACGACTATAAGGTCGAGACCAATTTTTACTTTTTATATATGCTTTTCATATAATATTCGTGCTTTTACTCACTGTTTGTGTGGATGTTGCGTATGTGTATATTCTCTTTGATTTTTTTCCAAGTGCAGGCTCGACTGCCTCTTGTGAGTAAGGAGCGTTGTGCTTTTTGTTGGGGGGCCTCATTGTTGGGCCTTAGTACCCCCTTGTCGAGGCTGAGTTTGAGACGTCAGCTTTGGCACGTCACTGTAGACTCTTCGACGTAGATAGTGGGATGTGAGGAGCGTAGAAAAACTCACAGTCGCTTAAAGCACGGTTGGGCCAGAGCCCTACCGTCTTTGCAAGTTCGTGGGGGGCTCACATCGCCCCCTTGCCAAGCATAAGGCTTGGGCTTGTCTTCCACGCATCGCCGTCGTTATAGCGACGACTTTAGTCGACGTATCGACAATTGTAGAAGATCATACCCGTATGGTAAGAATTAGTCGACGTATCGACGTATATTTATTAGCGTATGGGTTACAAGATGGCTTTTCAGCCTGGCAGAACGGAGAAATGAAAGAATACACAAGTAGGACATTTAGCCTGGCCTATTAGGTCGACGCTTCTCGTGGTCACTGGTAGTAAACCTTTAACTGGTCCGCATTCCATGTGTGCTTGATGCTTCGACCGTCGAGCTTCGCCAGTCGATATGACCCGTTTATGACAACCTCTTTTATTTTGTAGGGCCCTTCCCAGGTCGGACCCAAGGCTCCGGAGTTCTTGGGTTTCGTGTTGGGGGTTACCACCCGCAAAACTAGGTCCCCGACCTCGAAGCGCTTCGGCTTGACCTTCTTGTTATAATACCTGGCCGTTCTTGCCTGGTATGCGGCGAGCCTTAACTGTGCATTTGTGCGTCATTCTTCTAAGAGGTCGAGCTCCAAGTTCACCAGTTTGGCGTTCCTATCCTCCTCGTACCAGGTTACCCGGTCGGTCGGGATGGACACCTCTATTGGTAGGACTACTTCGAACCTATAGGCCATTGAGAATGGGGTTTCTCCCGTGGTAGTTCTACTAGTCGTTCGGTAGGCCCACAGCACTTTTGGCAACTCGTCGGCCCACTTCCCTTTGTAGGCATCGAGGCGTCGTTTGAGCGTGACTGTGATTATCTTGTTGACAGCCTTGACCTGCCCGTTAGACTGGGGGTACACGACAGAGGAAAAATTATTGTGGATCCCCAGCGACTTGCAAAACTGGCTGGTGTTGTCGTTGTTGAACTGCTTCCCGTTGTCGGACACGAGGGAGTGCGGGACACCGAACCTGCACACAATGTTGTTCCATATGAAGTTTGTGCATTTCGCCTCCGAGATGGCCGTCAATGGCTCAGCTTCGACCCACTTCGTGAAGTAATCGACGGCGACTATAGCGAACTTGTACCCCTCTGGGGTTTTGTGCAGGGGCCAATGAGGTCAATCCCCCACTTTGCGAAGGGCCAGGGGGATAGTATGGACGTTAGGTCCTCTGAGTGCAGTCGAGGGGTCGGGGCGTACCTCTGGCAGCTTTCACACCTTTTCGCGTACTCGGCCGCATCTTTTTTGAGACTGGGCCAGCAATACCCTTGCCGTAATATTTTGTAGGCTAGGGACTGCCCTCCCGCGTGATTCCCGCAAACCCCATCGTGCACCTCCGAAAACACTATCTTTGCCTCTTCTGCGCTGAGGCACCTGAGTAAGGGCGTCAAATACCATCTGCGGTAGAGGAGGTTATCGTGCATCGTGTATCTTACTGCATGGTACTTCATCTTTTGGGCCTGCCGCCTGTCCTCAGGAAGCTCGCCGCTGACCATGTACCTGATGATTGGATCCATCCAGCTAGGTTGGAGGTCCACTGGTGCGACTTCGGGCCGCTTCTCTGTGGACGGGGTTTTCAGGACCTCTAAAGGTACTAGGTTCAAAAGATCGGTGTCTCTCGACGGCGCCAGCCTGGCGAGTGCATCGGCGTTGCTATTCTTTGCCCTCGGTACCTGTTGTATGTCATAGGTGGTGAACTTTCCCAGGGCTTCCCTAACCTTCTTCAGGTACGCAGCCATCTTCTCGTCCCTGGTCTAGTACTGGCCCTTCACTTGATTCACAATGAGTTGTGAATCACTGAAGATGTCAAGTGCTCCGCCAACCGGAGTCCAGCGAATAGTGCCTCGTACTCCGCTTCGTTAGTGGACGCGGGGAATTCGAACCTGACGGCCGAGGTGACCTTGTGTCATTCCAGTGTGTGTAACACAGTCCCGCCCCGCTGCCATTGTCGTTGGAGCTTCCGTCGACGTAGAGCTTCCATCGTGGTGGCTCGTAGGCTTCTTCGACCTCGGTTGGTAGCCCTGTGAACTCTGCCATGAAGTCAGCTAGGGCTTGGCCCTTGATAGCGGTCCGTGGTTTGTAATCGATATCGAACTGGCTGAGCTCTATGGACCATTTAAGGAGTCGACCGGAGGCGTCGGACTTTTGTAGCACCTGCCTGAGGGGATGATTGGTCAAGACCTGGATGCTATGGGCCTGGAAGTAGTGCCGTAACTTCATCGCTGTTACAACTAGCGTGAGGGCGAGCTTTTCCATCTGGGGATACCTCGTCTCCGCGTCGAGGAGGCGCTTGCTAGTGTAATACACCGGCAGCTGCACATTCTTCTCTTCACAGATTAACACTGAACTAACGGCGTGCTCCGAGACCGCCAGGTGAAGGCTCAACACCTCCCCGGTCACGGGTTTGGACAACATAGGGGGTTTGCCGAGGTGTTCCTTCAGTTGTTGGAACGCCTGTTCGCACTCTTCCGTCCATAGAAACGGCTTGCTTCCCCTCAGGGTGTCAAAGAACGGTACGTACTTATCTGTGGATTTGGAGATGCACCTATTAAGTGCGGCCACACAGCCTGTCAGCTTCTGGACCTCCTTAGGCTTCCTTGGCGATGCCATGTCGAGGAGGGCCTGAATCTTTTACGGATTGGCCTCGATTCCTCGACTGCTCACCATGAAACCCAAAAACTTCTCTGAAGCGACGCCGAAGGCACACTTCCGAGGGTTCAGCTTCATTTTGTACGCTCTGAGAACACCGAACATTCTTCCCAGGTCCCCCTCATGGTCTTCGGTCTGCCTGCTCTTTACCAGTATATCATCGACGTAGACCTCCATAGTCTTTCCTATCTGCCCCGCGATCATCTTGTTGACGAGGCATTGGTAGGTCGCTCCAGCATTCTTGAGACCGAAGGGCATCACTCGGTAACAGTAGAGCCCTTTGTCGGTGACAAACGCCGTGTGCTCTTCGTCGCGGTCGAGCATTGGTATCTGGTTGTACCCATAGTAGGCGTCTATGAAGCTCAGTAGCTCGTGTCCTGCCGTGGCGTCGACCAACTGATCGATTCGGGGTAGTGAGAAGCTGTCCTTAGGACATGCTTTATTCAAGTCACTGAAGTCGACACACGTTCGCCACTCCCCGTTCGGCTTCCTTACCATGACAGGATTTGACACCCATTCTGGGTATAAGACTTCTCGGATGAAGTTGTTCCTCATGAGCTTGTCTACCTCTACCCGCAGGGCTTCGGACCTCTCGGCGTTCATTGGTCGACGCTTCTGTCTCTTTGGTGGAAACTTGTCATCGATGTTCAGCCGGTGACACATGACGCCGGGGCTTATCCCTTCCATGTCCTCGTGGGTCCAGGCGAACACGTCGAGGCTTCCTTTGAGAAACTCGACCAATTTTTCCCGGTCCTGTGCCCTCAACTCCAAGCCTATCCTCAGTGTTCTCGTTGGGTAGCTTTCATCGATGGGGACCTCAATTAGTTCCTCGACTGGTCCTGCTCCGAGCTCTTCTACTGGGAACCTTGGATCCAAGTTGAGTCCCTTTCCCCTGGTCTCGACCATTCGCAGCTCTCTCCGTACCTGAGTCGGCTCGGCGTAGTGGCAGACGGTTTCCGAGTACGTGAGTCTTGACTCGTACTGGTTGCCTCTGACCTTGCCGATCTCGTTTGGCGCGGGGAACTTCATCACCTGATGGTAGATGGACGTTACCGCCAGCAGGGCCCTCAAGGGCGCGCGTCCGATGACCGCGTTGTATTGGTTGCCTCCCTTCACCACTAGGAACTTTGACATAACGGTCGAGGTGTGTGGTCGGTCACCGATGGTCATTGGCAGCTCGATGGCCCCTTCCGGGATGACGCTGTCTCCCATGAACCCGTACAGTGGCTGGGCACCATTCTGCAGCCTTGAGCGGGGAATTCCCATCTTCTTGAGGCAGTCCGCATACAAGATGTCCACAGAACTACCATTGTCGACTAGGATACGGCAAACCGTGTGGTTACCGATCACGGCCTCGACTACCAAGGCGTCGCTCTGGGGGAAATGTACCCCCCTCGCGTCGGCTTCCGAGAAAGTGATCTCGGTGTCCTCATATCGCGCGGCCTTAGCCTCGCGTCCTAAGACGTTCATGATCCTCTGGCTGAACTTCTCCTTCGCCTCTCGGGCGTACTCCTTCTGTGTGCGTCGAGAGGTACCGCCGAGGTATGGTCCCCCGAAGATCGTTCTTATGACGCCAACCGGTTCGGGCGGGTTATCGCGCCTCTGCTCGTCCCGTCAGTCGTCGTTGCGCCTGTTGTTGTTCCTGCGGTCGGCTCGGTATTTGTCTCGCCTCCCTTCCCGGATCAGCCTCTCGACCTCATCCCTAAGGTCGTAGCACTCGGCCGTGGTGTGACCACTCTCGCCGTGGAAACGGCAGTATTTGTTCTGGTTTCTCCGCGCCGGGTCAGACTTTAGGGGTGGAGGTCGACGCAGGACCTGGAGATGGCTGATCTCGTGGTAGATGTTCTCGATCCCCATATTCAGGGGAGTGTAGGCGTCGTACCATTGCGGCTTGGGCCGCTTGGTCTCCCCCTGGCTCGTCGAGGCGTTACTGCCCCTGTTGCTCGGAGCCGGGTTGTACCTTGGCTCGGCTTGCACCTGAGGAGGGCCTCGGTGCTTCTTGCCGTTGTTCTGACTGCTAGCCTACCTTACCTCCTCCTTGGCAGGGGTTGTCGCTTTGCTCTTTAAGGCCTTCTTGGCCTCCTCGGCGTTTATGAACCCCTGCGCCCTTGTCAGGAATTCCTGATAGGTGTGGGGCGGTCTTCGGTCGAGGTCTGTGCTGTAGGGGATGCCATTCTTCATGCTGGACAGCGCCCCCATCAGGGCCACTTCATTAGAGATTCCCTCAGTGGCGGCGACCTGTTCCCCGAACCGGGCTATCCAGTCCTTCAGGGACTCGTTAGGTCCTTGGTATACCCTCGACAGGTTCTGTTTTGGTGGGATGTATTTCTTGACACCTATGAACTGAGCCAAAAAGGCGTTCTTCAAATCATCCCAGCTGGTGATGCAATTTGGTTTGAGGGACCTAAACCATCTCCTCGCGGAATCAGAAAGGTGATTCCTGAATGCCCGGCACATCACCTCCTTAGGGTATCCATGCAGGACCATGTGCCCTGTGTACACCTCCAAGTGATCGTCCGGGTCACTCCTCCCGTCGTATAACGGAATGGGAGGTGACTTGTACTTGTCGGGAAGTGGGACCTGGATGATGTTTTCCGTGAACAGGTGGTCGTGAGACGTATACATCTTGGCGTCGACGTTAACTGCCTCGGCCACCTTTCCCACAACCTATTCGAAGTTGTTCAGTCGACTCCCCATCTGCTTTTCCAGCCTGGCAATCTTCTCGGCCAGAGCTTTATTTTCAGCTGGGAGCTCATCTTCCCTCGTCAGCTGCACGGCCTTTCCACGTCGGGCGTCGAGCTTTGCCCTCAGGTCCCCGCCATGCACCGACGTGGATCCCACGGGGACGACGTTCCTCCTAGGTGGATCCTGTTGCGGTCGAGGGAGTGCATCTCTGTTGTCCACAGCTGGCGCCGCAGCCTTCTCCCGCGCTCTCCTTCGTGCCGCGCGTTGCCTGCTCCCTACAGACCTATTCGACTTTGACGGGCGTGGATCACCCGCTCGACTGTCAACGACTTCCTCGGCGTCACCGCGTCGGTCGCCAATCACTTGGCCCGCGATGGCGGCGTTCACCGGGTTCATCGGCGCATCCTCAAGCCCTTGTTCCCGCCCAGCCAGGGCCGTAGCCATTCTTTCCACGGCAGTGGCCAGCGTTTCGACCTGCTTTTGGAGCTGGTTGATACGGTCTGGGGGAGTCGCGGCCGCCGGTGGAAGTGGATCCGTTGAGGTCCCTGCGGTGGTGGTATTCCGGACACGCTTGCCGGGAGGCATGATGACAGTTTCTTTTGGTTCAAAGCTGGGTTAAATTTCTGGGCTTCGAGGCCCTCCTTCTAGCGCCAATTGTTGACGGTGTTTTTCCGACAACTTGTAGTTACCTCCCCGGAAACGCTCACGGTTGCACTAACCACATAATCAAATAATAAGCAGTAAAATAATGTAGAAAGGACAAGGATTTTATAATGGTTTGGCAATAATTTTGTGCCTAATCCACTTGTGCATGCACTATTTTTTCAGATGTTTACAAGTTTTCTCTGTAATACCAATGGTGTCTAACCCTTTTCTGTGTTTTGTTCGTTCTATTTATAGGCCTCTACACGGATTACATATTCCCGGCTCCCAAGGAGGAAGCCATCTTCTGTTCTCGATCCTCGCGAGGGTAGGTGAGTTTTCATGATGACTTTTCCTGGAAATACGGCTGATCCTCTCAACCTGCCGCCTGACTTCATGACTTCTGCAATAGCAGTCGGATCAGTACTTCCCTCCTCGGGTTGACATGACTTCTGGCTAAAAGAACCGACAATGTTCCCTCGACGCAGCGGTCTCAGCACGTGGAGCCCTCGCCCAACGCCTCTCCTCTTGCGCGATCTCTCGACGCATAAGGCACATTTGCTACGCCTTACCGTCGATGCCAATAGCCGGTCCTCCACGGGAGTCCTCAGCGTCGGTCGTTCGAAGAAGTAGTCGATGTCTCAACTATGGTGTAACATAATCAAAGAAAGTGTAAGCGGGAGAAGAAAAGCCTAGGAAAACACCAAATCAAAAGAAAACAGCAGAACGTAGAAGATTCTGTTTCCAAAGAAAAGATGAAAATGCCCAAACAGAAACCAAAAAAGGAATAAGCAACAATGACAAAACAGTAAAAAAAAAAAAAAAAAACAAAAAAAGAAAAAAAAAAAAAAAAAAAAAAAAAAAAAAAAAAAAAAAAAAAGAACAAAGACGGAATTTCTTCAAAACAGAAGGACAAAAAGAATCAGGTGCTGTTCCTCCTTTAATAGTATTATAATTTATTATGAGTTAAATATGAACAAAATAAAATGTCTTTTTAATATATATATTTTTTCAAATTGAGGGTACACTCGCGTGTTTACAATTAATTAAAAGATAAAGAATTATGAGTTTATTTAGTGTCCGTTTAGTTCATAAATTAGTATTATGAGATTAAAATTATTTTTAATTTACGTGTATTTTTTATAAGAAAAAATATTATAGCGAATCATGAATTATAATTCGAATCAGAGAATGAATTCTCCAACTAAATAGGCTCTTAATTTTTAATTTAAATTTTTAATTTGAATTAATATGTAATTTTATGTGAAAATTTTTTATTTTAATAAAAAATTAAAATATAATTATTTTTGAGAACTTTTTACCATAATAAAACTTGAATTCTAAACTAAAATTGGTGAAATAAACTAGTACTTCCCTTCCCGAATGCCACGCAATACTGATCCGCAATCAACGTGGGAGTAGCTGTCACGCGAATTGATCAATATCACCCATCATCATATCCCCAATTTCTAACCCCTTTGATCGCCACGTGTCGTAATGGTGCGTTGGATCCCACGAGGCTTTCGCTTTTGACAACTTGACCTGTCCCAGCCCTCACAAAATCAACAGAATCAATCCACCACCGCCTTCATTGTGCCTATTTCTAGCAGATTCTTAGAAACCAAACAGTCCTTAAAACCCCTCCAAAACTAAAACCAAACCCTTCTGTTTTCTCTCTCCGCCAAGAAAAAGAAAAAGAAAAAGAAAAATCCCCAGCTTCCTTTAAAGTTATGGCGGGGTTTGAGCAGCAAGTGAAGGTGAGAGCGCAGGGGCTCAAGATCTTGTTCAAGAAGGGAATTAGGATCGTCGGAAACTCCTGCAAGAAAGGCTGGTACAAGGTCAAGCACATCAGGCGCTGATTAATCTTTATTTTAGATGATTATGATCCTCTCGTCGAAGATTTTGGTCCAGTTTTCCTTTATTATCGCATAGTTTGGTTTTGATTCATGTAAAAAAGAAAAGAAAGAATCTGTGTTTATCTTTCTTGTTTATTGTTTGGGCTGATCTGGAATATTTGCATCTTTTGACTTCTGGAAGTTTGTTTTTTGTATTTTTTTTTTCAAATTCGTTTTTTTGGAGTATTGGTATGATTATAATGGGTCCGATTTGAATAGATTTTCGTTTGATATCTTTTTATCTCTTGTTTTTTTTTTTTTTTTCTCTTGATTCTAGTCATATGAATTTAAAAACTTATTCGCTTCTAGTAATATTTCTGTTATATGTTACGGGTGTTTTGAACTGTTTAGAACAATTAAGGGGCATTTTGAAAAGACTATATAATTTGAGGAGTATTTATGAAAATAATCTTTTAAGAAATAAATAAGGTCAAAGATATTGAAAAAGGAAAGCTAGTGGCTTACGTAAATTACAGACAGCTCATACATAGGTGTCGTTCTTAAATTTAAATTTTTTATTATAATAAAAAAATTAAATGTAATTTTTATGAGAATTTTTAATAATAATAAAATTAAAATTAAAAATTTATATTGATAAAATAAATAAAATAATAATATTTTTAATAATTATTAATCAAATTATTGAAAAAATTACCTACTTTATTTTTAATAATGACGCGGCGGTTATATGACTTGCTATAGCAGGTTAACTAACCTGATAGTTTTAAGCATTAATTTAAAATATTTTTTACAAATACGAAAATAAAAACCTTTTTTGTTACCCGATTTCTTTTTTTCAATTATAATCATCAGTAAAAGTCAAAATCTTTATTACGTACTTTTTTTTTTTTTTTTTCAATTAAACACGATTTAAGTGTGAGAGGGTAAAGAAATGATCAGATCATCATTCAACTTTGGGCTCGAGGTAGAAACACATGAATTATGGCTGTTTTTTTAGAATGTGATTTGAGTGTAATTTTTAAGTTGAATTTGAATTATAATTTGAGTTAAAGTTATAAATTGAATAAAGTTGAATAAAGTTAGAGTTTAAAATAATGTAAATTTAAATAAAGTTGTAACTTGAGTTATAACTTTTTTTGTGTTTTATTGTAAAAGAATAATCCCGTTTTTTTTAAAAAACGTAGTTTTTATTAGGTCTCGTTCATTTTATTGATTTGAATTTAAAATTTGAGTTTTGTTATAGTAAAAAGTTTTTATTAATTTTTTTACTACAGTAAAAAACTCTCATATAAAATCACATCTCAATTCGAATTAAAAACTCGAATCAGCGAATTAAATGGATCTATGTTTCTAAAGAGAAATTAATGCCCTGTTTATTTAACCGATTCGAGTTTAGAATTCGAGTTTTGTTACAGTAAAAAGCTCTCAGAATCAGTCACATTTAACTTTTTTGCTACAGTAAAAAGCTCTCAAATAAAGTCACATCTCAACTCGAATTAAAAACTCGAATAAGCAAACTGAACGGGCCCTAAAGCAATCTTGTATTTGGTATGATAATTCATGTGATGGTTCGAATCATGATTCGTAGCTCGATACAAGATTTTCTCTTATAAAAAATACACATAAACTAAAAATAATTTTAAATCTGTAAATTAAACGTCTACTAAGAGATTGTCCTCCCGATAAAATGCGATCGGATGCAGAGTAAAATGATGAGGTCAATTCACCTCCAACAAACATATCAAACTAATGCGTACAAGAGTTTGCAATATTAACAATATTATTGGTTGAAGGTCTATCGAGTATCGACCTTTAAAAAAAAGTTCCCTCAATCGAATTTACTATAGAAAATAATTATTTAATTAACAATATTATTGGTTGAAGGTCCCATATAATAATCGGCGACGTTCTTGACTTGTTGATTTGGAGCAATTCGTCAATCTCTTGGTAGACGTTTGGTCTATGAATTTAAAATCATAATTCAGAATCATTTTCATTTTATGTGTATTTTTTATAAGAAAAAAATACTGTAAATAATCATAAATTATGATTCAAAATTTAAAATGAATACATGAAAAAATATCCCCCCATTTCCTATATGGGCAGTGCATTAGCGTTACGGTAATTAATGGGCCAAAAAGTCACGTTCTCAACCAAAGAGAATTAATATTTTAGCCACAAAAAAAAAAGGGAAAAAAAAAACATAGAGAGAGAAATAAAATTTACTGTTCATTCACAGATGTTGAGAAGATATATTCAAACACTTCCCTATCCCTCGCCCTAAATGTGTTTTTTTCTTTTAGAACAAGTTGTACTTGTCAAGTCATATATTTTTTATGAAACTTTCTCCATATTATCTTTTCTTATTTTCTTTAGATTCGAACAAGATGAATAGTTTTCACATTCAACTCCAGACTCCTGTCTTCTCTTTAAATCTTTATC